AGCGTTTGGCTGTGTCAGTAATGCTGAACCGCTCCTTCTCATGGCCTCTAAAACGAAGTGGGTGTGACTGCACCAGTATGTTCATAGGTGAGATTAGTGACAAACCAAATGTCCTAACTGAAAATATGAAACAAAAATATCTTCTTCCATTAAAAATATATATTTACATTTTGATTCTGTTTTTTTTAGCTGCAAAGGGAAATTGATATTGACACACATTTATATTGTGCCGTTTAACTCATGCTCTGACTTCAGTGTGCTATTTAAATCAAACTCTGCGTGAGCCGCTGCTTTATGGGCACAGCTGGATTTTAAGTCTTACCAGCAAATGTGATTCACAGAGCATTTTATCCAAACATACTCTTTTTTTTTCTACGAAAGCATGAAAGACAAATACAGCAAAGTAGGGGAAAAGCAATATTGGAAGATTAAAGGCATCCTTGTTCTCTTTTTGTTTTCAGTTTAGCCTGAGGAAATTCAGCCCCAAAGATTACAGACTACTTCGAATGAGGCGTAAAGGTCTGAGATGTAGCAAAAAGGAGACCTACAGATATTTTTAAAGTGATCAAGGAATTATTAAAATAGATTTTGACAGCATGGGAATGTTGAAGTTTGTTTTTAAAAACGCAGTAGTGCTCTTTCTACACCTACAACTTTGAAATGTGTTCACTGTTATTACTGTTATTAAAAAATCATAGAATCAAAGCAGACTGCTGTGTGTTGGAAACCAGTGGTCAGTAGGATATTATTATTAAAATGATCCGACCATATGAGTAAAACTGCCACTTAAACTTGTTTAAAAATGTTTTCATTAGTTTATTTCTTTCCCTTTTTGCAGTAATATTATTTTACTATTGTGTATGAAATAACTGCTCTGTATTTTAGTGCACATTTTAGTCAAACTCAAAGAAATACTAATATTTTAATCAATATAATTAAGACAAACTTAAGGAGTTTGCAGAGTAATTAGGTGAGAGGTGCAGTCAAACATATTTTATCTCATTGCAGACCTGTGATCTTTGCTTGTGAGATCTGTTTTAATATTGTAACTGAAACATTGCTTATGTGTGTGTTTGCTCACTGCAGAGAGCAACCATCCTGACTTTAGTAATTTATGGAAGTACTAGAAGTGTAATAACGATTATTTCATTAACATTAACATTGGTCTCCAGGACAGGATTTTTCCTCTTAATCAAGGAGAAAGCCCAAACATTGTGTTAATGCTAGAACAAGTCACCCCATACAAAATTTTGTGGGAATTTAAAGAGGCACTCTGCCAGTTTTACCCACCATCAATGGGCCTTTGGAAGCAGTATTGCATGAGCTATGTGGAAAAGCAATATTAAGTCTTCAATGCTTGTGGAGGCAGCTCCATGAAATCTAATAATTCCCTCAGGAGATGTCAGTTGAGTCAATTGAGTCTGAGGACTACACATTTGAAAACCAACAATGTCTGGAGCAATGAGCAAGACCAGACCTCTGCAGCTCACTCATCACCTCCATCTCAGCTCGAGGCTAGTGGCTCAGGGCTGTACTAGCTACTGCTAGCATAAATCCCCAGCCAAACTGTTGCTGGTTGAGTTTGTCCTGTAGGAATTGTACAGTAGATGCCAGGCTGATGAGCATTATGGCCACTTGCTTTCCTCTTGTCACTGTAGGGTTTCCTCCTGCAGGACTCTGAAGGAATGGATGGTCATTAGGTCAGTATGGGTTCCAGTCAGGGGCGTTTCTATGATCAGACCTTTATAGGGGCTCAGCTCCCAATCATAATGTCATACAGTGTCTTGCAGTTAATATTCATGATATTAATGGAGTATGCTGCTTGCAAACATATACAATCCCTTTCCCCTTTGCAAGCTTCAATTCAACTGGGTACGTGTTACAATGTTACCACCAAAAGCAAACTAATTAGTTGGATGACCTATTGCAGTGTATAACACGTGCCTTTAGGATAGACATTTTAGTTATTAAACTTGAGGCAAAGGCTCAGTTGTGTTGACTATAATTTTCAAAAGTAAGTTGAAGAACAATTTGTAGCAGAGTAGATTAGAGGAGAAACATGCAGCACATCATGAAAAATCACAGTGCCACTCCGAACACCTGGAAAAACGAATTGGTACTAGAGCTGATTTCACTTTACCTTAAAGTTTTCCAATTCTTACAAACTCTCCCTTTATTGTGCAGAATGAGAACAGGATGTCAGCTACACAACTCAAGAAGTGGAGAACAGATTTGAAACCATCCTGTTTAGGTGATGTGAATTACACCCTAAACGGCACCATTCATGTCCATTAGTATCTTCTACTTAGAAAGTAAAATCAACATCAATGACTGGCTTTGTAACTTTTGTTAACTTTGACTGCATGTCTATGCTTGCCTGTTTTAAGTTCCTTTCTCTCCTTCTCACCCTATACCTACTCTGTCTTCCTTCCTCTGTCTTTGTGCTGTCACCAAAAGGTAAATGTAACAGTGGAACAGAATTTACAGCCCAATAAAAGGCTGATTTACATCATTTTATAATAATATTCTAATTGAATATAAGCTGCCTCTGGCCATTGACAGGCGACATTCTTCTGCCTTGCTCTCTGGAGCTCTGCGGTACTGTAAACAAACAATGACGCCCAATTCAACCAGAACAGAAAAATAATGAAGTACATCAGCTCCTGGGCTGACAGCTAGTGATACGGCAGCAGATTTATGGCTCCGAAAGCTAAAATTAGCTAATAATCTCTGGCATCTAGCCTACATTCCCAACATTTTTTTGGTCTTATGAATGACCCTGCATTATTAGAAGAATTTGCCATTTCCCTTACTATGTTCAGATAAAATGTGTGAATCTGCACCACTTGTGTCCTGAAATGAACTTATTGTCCAATTTCAGTGAGACAAGTCTCATTTTTCACGACACGCCTCTGTGTGAGCGCACTGTAACATAATGATAAAAACAATGCTGGAAATTTAAACTTGTTGTCGTTGTAGCCTCGAGTGTCTCCAGTAGACAAGTTGGGAAAACACATTAGCAGACAATGTCAGAAAATAATAAAAAAAAGACATTTATTACCACTTTTACTGCAGTTATTTTTACGTGAGCTATGATGAACTATGATAAACGCCCTCAGAAGAGGGTCTTAACTCATCATTTGTTCCAGTCAGTAATATTGTGACTCCTTCCTAAAATCTCCACCTCCTGGTTTGTTGCTTGTTTGTAATTTGCTTTCCATTGTCACCACCACCACATTCTTACTCATCCTCGTGTTTGTTTTTCTTTGTCCTAATCTTTTCTCATAAACGGCATCTTAGCCTGTCTCGTCTTGCCTTATGTGTCACTAGCTATGAGCTGGGTTGTGACACAAAAAAGAAGTGTGCATGTAATAAAAAAGGATGCAGGTCCTGCTGCATCTCTACACGTCTAAAGAACTGGTTTACCTATGCTGTGACAGATCCGCCTGCCCTGATTGGATTTTGTGTTAGCAGGTACAAACTCCTGATAGGCGTAAGATAATAACAGTGATTTAGCCAATACGTTTAGAGAGTAGCAAATACATATTCGGCATATCTTTGTGTTTGTCCCATGGGGCTTATGAAAAATTAATATCAAGTCCCAGCCTGAATTACTCAACGCAAATATCCTATTAGATTTCCATTCTGGCCACATATAATGGAATGTGGATGACGGGTACCACTTCATTGAGTCCCACTTTAGGCATGCTGATTTCATTTTTCATCAATAATAGATCAGAAATTACTCAACGCATAGCTGACTGTGTGGTATGCAAATTGCACCAGTGCTAAAGCACTTCAGGATGTGGTAACTCTACTGTGGTATTTGTGCATAAAATTCATTCAGTCGCTCTTCTTCCTGGGGCTACATCTAAACACACCTGCAAGTGATTTCTAAGAAATGAAGCCCTTGAGAAGTTGAGATCCGAAAGCAATGCAACTAAAAAGGCATCCCATCGGTCCCATCCTGGGAAAAACAATCCCTGAACATCTCTCTCTCTCTGTCCCTCCTATATGCTTGTATATGACACAGTTGTGAGACTGTAGGAAATTGTCTTTAGCAGTTCTCGGCAGCTTCCCCACTTTGATGACAGCATGACTGGTGGACGCAATGAGGGTGGGGTTAAAATGTCAAGACATTATTCTCGTCTGTCCCTCCGCAGCTCCCATGAGCAATTACATCAACCTTCACCTTGCACTAAAGCGTTTGGTGTTTAAACAGACATTTACTGCCACCGGGGCCCTGTGATTCATCTGGAGGGGTTACAGGACTGACATCCTTTTAAACACAGCTCGCCACAGTGAACTGGTGGCCTCTGTGGGGTCTTGATGAGTGCTGGAGATGTTTGAAAAACATTCTTACCCACCAGTCTAGACAGAGAGCAAGACAAAGCAGCAGTGTGACTAAATTGTTCATCCATTAGAAGCACTTACACACGCTGACAGATGCAAAAGTGCAAGTCAAAGCTGTAGAGTTGTTTGTGGATTGGGTATAAAGTCAGTGGGAACTTTTCAAAACAATTTCCACCTGCTCAGGAGGGTTGGGAAAACGTATTGATGGGTTAAAGGAGTTAAAATGTGCTTCCAGCATGACCCATGAGAGCAGCGAGCAGGTAAGAAAAATAATCCTAGAAATAATCAGTTTCACTCCGAGGCTTTTTTCTTAATCCTATTAATCCTGTCCGGTTTTAAGATTATATTAAAGCTAGAACATGAATAATATAGACTTTCCCCTCTTTTATATATGTTCCTGTAATGTCAGATGACCTTTTCTTTGTCATCTGTAGTTTGTGTTATTCTAGGTCCCCCCCCACACACACACACACTGCTATAAATACATTAAGAGTCAGGAGCATCTTCCTTTCCACGTCTGAGGACAGCACAAAAAAAATCCCCCCTCTGTGAACGTGTGCGCGGCAGCGCGTATGAGAAGAAGGGGAGACTTCGCCCGCACCTCTATCAGTCTGCCCTGCATCTTTCCACCGGACCGCAGTGGATACAGCCGACTGTACACGAGTGCGTCTGACATACAGCACAATGTAAAATAGGTGTTTTCTACAGAGAGGGTTTCACAGGTACGTTTGTTTGGAGGAGCACCGCACAAAGCGCGATCGTTCCCTGGCTTTTTCCTCCGCGCTCGCTCTTACCTCAGCCGCAGCCCGTAAGTGGGATGCGGGATACGCAGCATCACCGGTGCCGTTAGAATAATCCCAACAGATAAACCTTGCAGTTCAGCGGGCCTATCAGATTTTAAGGCAACTGGTTTTCTAAAGGCTGAGCAGGGAGAGTAAAACTGCTCGCTGGTGTGTGTGGGGGGAAGAAAAAGACACTGCTTTTCTCCGGGAGATAAAGTGAGGAGGGATTTTCCAACTAACGGGGATGTGGCTGTTTTTCCACTGTCCTATAAAGCGGGAAATGATTTGGTCATCCAAAGATCAGATTTAAACTGGACTGCTCTTGATCTTATCAGTAACGCATTTTATCTGCCCGTTTATCTGCCCTGGGAGTCTCCGTGGTGGAGGGAGACGCGGAGCAAGATCCAGAGAACTATACAGAGGGAAACTGAGTTACTCTTCAATTACGCTTTTTCTTGCAAATTGACGTATTTCTGGGCAGCGGACGTAATGCAAAAGTAAGGGAGAATATTGGAAACGCAGACAAGACGCAGCACAGGTAAGGGAAACTGCTTATTAAGATGTGAAGAGAGCAATATATGCAGCAACAGAAACCATTCTTAACGGGTTTAACGGCAGTTGGGGGGGAAGCAAGAAGCTGTAAGATGCGGCAACGAATGACTAAACATTTAATGCTGCTGGATCTGTAGATCAGAAGTTAAGGCACGGACTATTCTGTGGTCACTACTTAAACGGGGGGTTTAACCTGTCTGATACCAAATACTTAAGCTGGCGATTTGTACCCTGTGAGTCTGTATGTTACTGGTTTTAATGAGCCAGTTGCGTTGGTGAACTGGAGCCTAATTGTTGCACGCTGGGCTGAATGGAAACTGTCCTTGTGCAGCAGTGACTTGAGAGCGCGGCTCAATAAGCAATCAAACATCATTTGCTGGATACGAGGCAGAAGTCGCAGACGTTTCAGTCGTGACGAATGACAGGAGAAAGTATTCACTTTAAGTGGGCTGATTCAGACCAAGTGTTAAATTCACCAAGGGTGTGATCAATAGGCTGGCTGCTCTACTCCAGTTAGATGCTGATTTATGCTCTTTACAGACTTGGAGTGATATACTTGTACTCGTTCGTTTTTTTGTTATTGTTTTATTTTTAATTACACGGGAATAAAGAAGGGACGGATGAACGTGAAGATGAAATGAGATACACAGAAGGAGATGGCTAAAAAAACACACGCACTCATTTTTGGCTCCACCTTGTGGTTCAGCTTGGTGCCTGAGTTTGGCTCTGCCCGTAGCATCCTCAGACTTTTTATGTTATTTATAGCATGATGGTAGAAAAAACCCTGACTTATTATAGTCTCTTATAATTAATGTGATGTGCAGTGATGCAGTGCTTAATTGAAATGTGTGCTCGGTGTGACCAGAGATAATGGCGGGTCACAGTTACAAACAGGGTAAAAAAGAGCTGTTTTGCTTCTGTCCATTAAAGACTTCACAGTCTCTTCGTGTCACAAAGACAGGCGTCTATTTTCAATTCCACAGGTCTTGTGTTATGTGGCTTTGCCTTCCACAGCATCAATGCAACCCATTGAGAAGTAATTTATGATAAATTGTACTTTATTTTCTTTTAAAAATATATCATTTCTGCTGAGCTTTTTTTTTTTTTTTTTTTTTTTTTTTTTTGCCATTTTGCAAAAATAAAATAGTTCCTGAGAACTTGATTGGCAGGCACAAGGTGACCACCTGTTTGTGCCAGCTGATGTTTGCATTTCTGCAAGCTCAAGTACTTTTTTGTTGATCTCAGAATGAGTAAATGCTTCATCCATAACCACAAACTGCTTAGCTGGCTCTCCCTCTTGTTATAAGTCAGATATTTGTGCAACAGAATCAATTTCACGTTCATAATTTTATCTGTAGCTTGGCAATTCAAGTTCACGGGATTTGGATGCCAAGTGCTACAGCTGATGCCTGAAAAGAACACTTTAGTTTGACAGCCCATAACCGGGATTGTTGATACTCTTGGAAAGGTTTATATGTAATCACAAACTGGGTACATATGAACTATTTATTGTGCTGCAAGTTATAATTCAGATTTTGTTCCAAGCGATATAGTGTTTGGGGGCAGACAGTCATACAAATAACTGGTCAGTACTGCCAGGTAGCTAAATTATACATACACATCCACCCTAGACAGGTTGCCAGTCTGTCACAGGGCTGACACATGGAGAAACAGAAAGATTCACCTCTACAGCCAATTTAGAATCACCAACCTTAACTCTTGCACATCTTTGGACTGTAGAAGGAAGCACACAGGAGTACAGGGAGAACATGAAAACTCCACACAGATTGCTGTATATCACTTACTGTACAAAACTCTGAATCCACTGTGTGTTTTTCTGTCCAGGTATGCTTTTACTGCATAGCTGTGTGTTTGGGATTGTCATGCTGAAAAAAGTTTGTCACAGTCTGGCACTTTCCAGATGGTATTGCACGGTGGATTCAAATCTGATGGCACTTTTCTTTGTTCATAATTCCACCAATTTGAAATGTAGCACTCGCCACGATTTGCATGTGGCCGTAGTCAGTCACTGTTTTACCTTTCTCCATACCCCCGTCATATAACAATTGACAAGAATTTGAACTTAAAATTTCAAATTTGGATTCATCACTCCATGAGACCTGTTGCCACTCATTTACCGGTAGTCTAGTTGTTGTGTAATTTGGCATACTGCTGCTTTTTCTCCATTTCCCTTTCTTAAGAATGGCTTGTTGACAACCACCCTTCCACTGAGACCTGATGAAGCTTAAGTGACTGTATCGGGTCTGATTTTTTCTTATGGACATGACTTTTAGACACTATTCATCTGCTCCAGATGAGATGCCTTTTTTTGTTCTTGAATTATTCACAGTTAAGTGTTAAGTGGCTTAAGAGACAGATATTTCCTCTAAAAAAGGTCAGGTGCAAGGACTGAAAAAGGAAAAAACTTTGAAAAACATTCAGAAATGTTGGGGAATTACTGCTCAAGACCGCTTTAAAAAATGACAAAAATGTATAATTAGAAGTAATGAGAGGTGGCTCAGGATTTATTGCACAGATAACGACTGTCAAACACATGTACAAACCTTTAGACACTGATCTTCAGCTAAAATAAGCATTTATTAATGTACTTAGATTATAAACCTTCACACTTCATGTAAGTTCCACTCCTAGGCTTGGGGTATAGCATTTTCTCTAATTTGCTGTGGGTTTGTATCATTAAATCAAGCAGGACATGTTCAGGTGCTTTCAGCAGAGTATGTGTCATTTTCACCAAGATTATTTGAACACTTAAAAGTGTGGGTGATATGCACATTTTGTTTGAAAAGCTTACTCCATTAGGCTAAATTTAGGAAAATTATGTTCAGCCTTCAGAATCAGAATCAGAATACTTTATTGATCCTTGGGGGAAATTATTTTGTAGTGGAGATGTATCCCCTCATCACCTGCAGACTAAAAGTTCAGTGTGAATCTAGTGAGTGTATGACTGCCTATTCGAACTTCATTTTAAACCCTAATGACTAAATTAGCCGCAAGCATTCTCCTGGGCTAATGCTAATATTAGCCGCAATTAGCATCTCGCTAAGCATTTAGCTAAATTTAGCAGCAAAGCTGCACATATTCTGACTACAGTGAATTTCATATATATAATTTATATGCTACTGTGGAAGGTTGTTCATTTTATCCAGTTTGTTTTTTATTGCCAAAACAATGCTAAAAGCTTTTAGGGATTAAAACAACCAAGTGATGTTCATTAATTGTTGTTGTTTTTTTTTTTAAACTGCCCTCTTATGCATACAAAGCAAGCTGAAACAGCTTCAGGTCTAGTGGAATTTATTTTGAGATAATCTTCTCACATTTCACCCTCACCTCTTCCTTTTAATCTTCCAACACTGCCAAACTGTATTCCTTTAGCCTCATATGCATGAAAAGCAAGCATATGTTGGGTATAATTTTGTTATGACTTGGCTTGGTAGGACTTCAGTGGTGCCTTTAATTCATTTAAATGTCTCCATTTACTGTTAAGCTTAACTATCCACCTGTGACAGATTAAAATAAAAAAGAATTCAGTTTGGTTATATCCAACCCAATTCAGCTTCAGGTCTCCACAAACCAGGTTTTTCCAGGTCCCAGACCAGCTGCACAGGAGTGGCCCACAGGTAAAGTCTCTGTCACAGATGTTTGAAAGTGGGTGGGAGGATTCCACTTGGATTCTCACACAGATGTGGATTTCTATTTTTAGTGTCGTGGGTTAAGGCGCGATGGTTCTGTTTTTGTGTCGCACCAGGAGAAGGTGTGCATGCTGGTCAATTACACAATTTTATTTGGTCAAATTCAACTCCTCTGCTTGCGTTTGTAAATTTCATGGCTGTGCTTTATGGTTTCATTTCTGAGATGGGTGGAGTGCAGCTCACTTTACCTCTCGCTGGCTTCTATTTATTTGTTTGTGTTCTCCGGAGTTCGCTTGTTTGCGGCGGGGTGCGTTACAAAACAGTTCCAATGATTTTATAGCGCACCGCGGGGCAGTTTACAGCAGTTTTTCAGTATATTTTGGGTCTACATTGGTCTTTTGTTGCGGTGGAGACACACTGCAGACCTTAATTTTGACTTTTTACTGTCGATATATCTTATTGTTTGTTATGCACTTATTAATAGCTCTCACATTATCCATTTTATATGCATACCTCCTGTAATTTATGTAACATTTACAGCTGGGCCATGAGCCACATTTTTCTCACAGACTGTTATTCGCTGACCTCTAGACTAGGATAAGTGAATTTATGTTCTAACACGGGCTCCAATTACTGAAAAGCCGCCCCGGTTAGCTGCAGCACTGATAATACTCTAGAAATTCCTAAATTAAGAATTTTGTAGCGATGAATATTTATGACTATGGTAATTCAAGGGCCTTCATTTGCTACAGCTTTTTAAAGGGTACACGATTACTAGCAAAACAAATAATGATTATTATGGTAGCAGTGCTGTAGAGGGAAGGGTGAAGACCTCATTTGCAGAAACAAGAGCCTGCTATTTATTGAAATGTTCATTGTAATCTAACAGATGAACACGTCGGCACAAATGGATACAAATTCTGCTGAGAATTATTGTTATTGGGTCGGTGAGAGGTCAGGCAGAGGAAGGAAGTACAGCATCTACTAAAAAATTTATTATCGTCAATTGGTGACCCATGTTCTTAATTTTTAAGAATTTCTGCTTTCACACACTGTGGTCAGTCAGTGTTTATATGGACAGTGTTTAAATCTGCTGGGATGCTTGTGTTTGCTGTCCTTGTTAGATACACAAGTTCATCTCCTTGTTAATGCAAATATCTGATCAGCCAATCACATGGTGGCAATTCAAAGCTTTTAGGCACATAGACGTGGTCAAGATGACCTGCTGAAGTTCAAATTGAACATCACAATGGGGAATGGTTGTTAGTCTGAGTATTTCAAAAGATGCTGATCTTCTGGGATTTTCCTGCACAATCATCTGTAGGGTTTCCAGAGG